TGGACGCTTGTGCCTAAACCCTAACCGAACCCTGACCTCAACCACTCATTTTAACAGTAAACCAGGTTATATTCATTTCATTTCATTATAAAAAATTGTTTTAATTATTGCTTTTATTTTTTTGATTTATACTGTATATCTCTCTCGGATATCCTAACCGTAACCTCAACCCCCACCCCCCTTGTTTTGAACCTAAACCCAACAGGTATTTTTCTCATTCCAGTTTTAATTTTTCTTTTTCTTTTACTTTGTAGAGGAAGCTTTCCCAAACCTCTTCCTAACCTTTTAGCTTTTAAAACGCCCCATTTTACCCGTTTACAACCATTCAGTTGTTTGTACTCTGCTATTAATAAGAGCCCCTCTCCTTTCCTGCACCTTTCTTCTCTATCTTTTGCCTTCACTTGTTTTACTCTTGTACAACAAAGAATTGCACAAGAAAACTTGCTCTCTTTCTCTCTTTTAACCCTTGTATCCCCTCTAAACCTTTTTTTCTTCCTCTACAGATCTTAAGTTTCTTAAATTGTTTTAATCGTTTTATTTTTTATCTCTCCAGTGGCTCAACACGCCTTTTTAATTGTGTTGCTGGATGTTTCACCCCGGCTCCGTGTTGGAGGCAGAAAAGATTCAAACTTCTCTGTGGAAAGCATCTATAATTCAGCCGGGACTAACACTCCTACTACTATTTTCATTCTTCGTTATAGCTTCTCCAGTTCCACAGCAATCCCAACATGACGATAACCCTCAAAAACAGATTCTCACCACTGACTTCTCCCCCTGGGGAGGAAATGCCACGGGGCAGAATCGACAGCCTTCAAACCCGCACAATACATCTTCAGACACTCACTCACAAACAAGACATTCTCCAAGCTATCCATCACTCATAACTTCTCAATAACACATTTAACAACAACACATATCCACGGGGCATGATGAGAAAGGTAAACAGACTCACTTTCTTCATCAAGCCCTCATCACCCAATGAAACACAGTTAAATTTTCAACCAAACACAGCCACTTGCATGCACACAAACATGGTCAGACTAAGAGAAGATTACGACACAGTGATTGCTGTGGGACTGGAGACCATCCCTGCTTGTTGAGGAAGCTCACCTCCACCAACACAGTGTGGGACATCACATCCAAGGTCCCGCAAATGGAGGAGGCTGCTTCCCTTTGTCCGCCCTCTCCCCTGGACTTTCCCCCACTCCCAGAACCAGCCGACCCATCCTTCCAACAATCTACCCTCCTCGATCTTCCCCCTCCCATCTACAGTTACATCAAACCAGCAGCAGAGGGAGCCAGAGCTGTGGGCCGTCGAGACCGCTGACACAAAAACGATCGCTGAGGTGGATAATGAAACCATGATGATGATGAAGGGAGAAATGAAAAGCCATATGCTGACTTCACCCCCAACACCTGAGTTATCCACCTCAAACTCCAACAGGGGCTCGGCGGGACCACCTGGCTCCCCAGGACGCACGGAACCACACGCCCACCCTCGCACATTCAGACAATTGGAACCTCTCCCGTACCCCAACATTCAGACACCCACACATTCAGATAGACAGCTACCCCGGAGCCACCTTTCATCACATCACTGCAATACTTAAGAAAGTCCCTCCCAGTCTAGAACCACTACACATCATACTTTCAGTAGGTCTCAACAACTGTCAGTCATACACCCACCACGCATCAGCCAAATCACCTTTCCTAACTCCACCATTTACATCCCAATCATAAACTTCTCAAATACATTGGATCAGAGGAAACAAATATTGCTTACTCGACACCACTATTTCTGCCAAATATAACTTCTAACCAGAGATTAACCCGCCTCTCTTTCAGGTCAACCCCAAAGACTCTATCCACTGGACCACGGGATGTCGTTCAGGTACTGGAAACAACAACTAAACATGTAACTGGAAGGAATGTAATCATACAGCTCCCCACACCTCCAACATAACCAACCTCTGCTCCACCTTCTCCCTCACACCCGCACATCTGGAGATACTGGAAAAAAGACTCACCTTTATCCCCACACCTAAACCATCACCCTTTGTCTTTTATGTGTCTCTTTTTCCCTCCCACTTTTTAGGCAGCCCTCTACCGTGGAATTATATCAAATGTTTAATATTAATATTTGTTCTCAATTATTTATGAAATTATTTTACTAACTATGTTATATTGTGTTTTACTAACCTTGTGTGTTTATATACTTTGACATTGTTTTTTCTATATACACATTTGCATGTTTTTAACTATTTTTTTCTTCTATAATTACTTCAGATCCACACAGTATAGGGGCCACATATTTAACTAATCATTGTTAGTTAAACAACATATTTTAATCACCGCATGCAGACGGGGAACATTTTATAATGTTTAGGATTGTCTATTTTAGCTATTTTGGAATTATTCTACACCTCCCCTTCTAAAATCAATGGAGGACTGTGAGAGATGGCAGCCAGAGCATACTATGGCACATTTGATGGCACATTTATTTAATCTAACAGCTACTCCCGCTGCCTGGCTTGCTCCGATGTTCTTTTTAAACCCTTTTTATTATTTTATAATATTTTTATTGCTATCATTTATTTTCACCCCATTGGTTTAAACTTTTAAACTTTCAAAACTTTATTTTCCCGGGTTTTGTTGTACTTTCATGGGGGGAATTCAACAAGCTTTGCTTTCCAAGAAAGAAACTCTGAGTTCTTTTTAGACGAATGCTCCCCATGTGCCCGAGCCCCTCGTGACTTTACCAAGAAAGCCACGTCTCCAACCCAACCTAACCCTCGATCAAGTATGGACAGACAAGGACCCAATACTTTCTCAGGTAAGGTAATTGGTACACAGAGGCTGGTTATCAGAACTAACAGGGGTGGAATATGCCCCCTATGTAGTGAGGAAACATAACTCGGTATCCAGAATGGAAACCTCTGCACCCTCCCATGCCTCCAGCAAGCAGAGAGAATGCTACAAACCTTTAAAAGAATGATGGACAACAGCTCTATCCCCAGCAGAGCTGCTTCTCGGGAGGAAGTGGATTTGATCCACCCGTACCTAAACATGAAGGTTCAGGAAAAACAAGGAAGACAAATGAGAGATCATGACAAAACGGACGCTGGTTCAAACCAGGAGACTCGGTACTGACCCTGAACTTTAGTCTTGGTCCCAAATGGATCCTGGGAATCATGGAGCCGGTGACAGGACCCGTGTCATACAAAGTGATGTACGGTGATGGGAGAGTAGTTTGGAGTCAGGCCTCCACAAAGGCTGAGGCATGGCTGGGCCTTGAGTCTCTGATGCTGGTGACAAGTAGGAAATATCAGAGACAGGTCAAGGAGCAGTGGCAAATACAAGTCCAGTGAGGAGACAGTCAAAGAGGGAAACTAAGTTGCTCAGTTACTTAAAAGACTTCCAGCAGGGGAGGAGTGTTTATGGGATGCTACTCCACACGGCCACTAGGTGGCACTGTGTGATTGTTAATGTTGCCAGTTTCTTCACTTCGGATAGGAAACAGTTCATGCTGTGTAGATTAGAGTTTAAATAAAAAAAACAAAAGGTCACAATAATGGCTTTTGCAAAGAGTTTTTGCAGTTTGTATCACCTGACACTTGTATGATTATTAAAGCGTAAGATTATTCATCCTCCTGCACTCTAGTCAATCAGATCTGAGGACACCATTCATATATTATGCATTTTACGTTTTTAAATTGTTTATAGTTCTTGTAAGATAAGATGATATGGAATTGTGTGTGCCTCTAACAGTACTCGCAGTATACAGAACAGTTAAATAGTGTACACAATATGAATGAAAAACATTCACATTGTGTATATACTACATGAAAACTAAGAATTAAGAACCGTGGATTGAGTTTGATGTCTATGATAATAGTCCTGTGACAGAGATAACTTAAGCTGCAGGGACTACTGTAAACATGACATGAATGGTTAAAAAAAAAAGCTCAGTTTCCTAAGAAACCTTTATAGAAGGCATAATTCCTGTGCCAAGTCCTTGAAAACTTTTACAGAGGAGCAAAGGAAACATTACAAACTTGTACGTTGTGTGTGCGTTGGCCAGGACAGGAGGGCTCTACAGTGGAGGATTAATAAACATCGTTGGTACCCGTCTACTGAGCCTCGGTGATGAGATGCGGTGCTGCACTGAGCCATCACCATACTAAGAGACAATACCCACCGTGCTGCCATACCACCAGATGTCCTCTTATGGCTTCATCAGCCCTTTAAAGTAGTTGGTCTTATGATGGGGACTGGCCAAAAGCTATTCACATTTCTCATCCTGTTGTAAACATGTCAATTAAAATATTTGTTCACTCCAAATGATATCTAATTGAAATCTCTTAACTATACAACTCATAATACACTGACATTACACATACTGCACATACTTTATGTGTGTGTATAGTAGTTTCGGTATATAATTATATATATTTTTTCAGAAAGACTTGTGCAACATAAAGTAAAGTCATAACATGATGGTGTCAGTGTGAGGCAGAAGCAGTCAGACTACTGTGTCAACTGCAATTCCTTAGATTACAGCCATCCAATAATTTTCTATACAATAAAGTATCCTGTCACTGCTTTCTGTTTTTGTTCCTCTGCAAAGCACTTTGTGATCAATGAGAAGTGTTTCATTCACCAAATTGATCATTATGATTATAAACATATAGCCTAGACGGGTTTAGCCGACTGGAAGAGTTCCTTATGAAGCTCTGGTGGTGCAGGCGTGTTTATTGTCAGGGTCTGGGTAGAAGCTGCAGTGTCCTTCACATGTCTCCTTAGCTCTTTAAACAATATGTTTCCAGGAGTGGCAGAAGGCTGTGAGGATGCATTGTATTTGTAATTGTGACAATGTAAAAAAATGAAAATATAATGATAATCCTGACCGGTTCTCTAATTCTGCTGCCAATGTGTGACAGGTTAAATGCAGAGTAGTTATCCATTCCCATCACGCCCTGCGGTCCAGAGAGAAGCCATCTTGGGTCCCATGCAGCATATTTTATCTCGTCTCTTCACAGTTAGTCGTGCGTTGCATTTTTTTTTTTTATGCATCGCTTGGGATTTAAAAAAAATAATAATGAAGTTGCTGTGCAGCTCTTGACGCGAAATGACCGGTGGAGCCCCGAAAATGCGCAGCTCCTCAGACGTGCTGGTGTTGCATGACGCTCTCTCTCTCTCTCTCTCTCTCTCTCCCTCTCCCTCTCTCCCTCTCCCTCTCCCTCCCTCCCTCGCTACCGGCGTGCTAAAGGTGACCGGGGAGCCGCGCGCTCACTGCTCATTATTTAATGTGTTCACATTGCGCGGCAGCGGGAGGCGGATGGAAAGCTTTGCCGCAGATCTGCTCCGGACCCTTCCGCGTCTTCTGGAGGAGGCTGGTCTGTGTATCGACGTCTAGCACGCTCTCAGGATGTATGTGCCGCCGCACACACCAGCATCCCCTCTCACAGACACAGTGAGCTCCCCGCACCTATAGGCTGCTTCTTTTTTTTTTTTCACCGCAGCGCTACATTTTCATCCCCATTTTTCGTTTTGTCTCACCTTTGCCAGTGACGCTTGGACGTTTATTAAAAAACGACGCGCATGCGTTTGCACTTGGAATAATTCTGCAGCCTAAGTTGCATCCCGGAGACCTTGTGTCAAAGTCGTCGGCAAGGATCAGAGTTAGTGATGTGGACTACTCTGGAGCGCGGATGCTGGGGGCTCTTCTGCCTATCCCTGTGGGCGTCCGTAGTCCGTGGGGCGCAAAGGTGAGATCTGATCATACTGTCATGTGTAGGCTTATTATGTCAGGCGGGCCCCCGTAACATTGCCTTATTTCTGTCACCAGAGCCAACGAGCCTAGCAACATGTCATTTGTGAAAGCCACGGTGGACAAGCTGCTGAAGGGCTATGACATCCGTCTGCGGCCTGATTTTGGAGGTAACAGCCCCCCTCCCCCGTTGTCCTCTGCGTTCATGTGACTAACGTTCAGCTGTGGAGCCCCGTGCTTACACTCTGCTGTCATGTTCCCAATAGGCGCCCCTGTGGATGTTGGCATGAGGATAGACATCGCCAGCATCGACATGGTGTCCGAAGTCAACATGGTGAGTTCCCCTCCACGTTCTCCCCGCAGTATGAGACCCGCGTGACACATGTCGGCCGGCTTTCTATCTGCCGCAAACAGATAGAGACGGAGACAGAGACGCTCGAGTCCGGTTCGCCTCTGTAGGCTACTCAGTGCAGCAGCAGCACACACACACACACACACACACACACACACACACACACACACACACACACTTTTCCGCAATGTGTCAAAGCCAATTCGTATGCATCAAGTACTTCCCCGCGGTGTCACAACCGAGAGAGAGGGAGAGACGGAGACAGACACAGAGCGGGAGAGAGAGAGAGAGAGAGAGAGAGAGAGAGAGACAGAGATAGAGAGAGGGAGACAGAGACAGAGCGGGAGAGAGAGAGAGAGCGAGAAAGACAGAGAGACAAAGAAAGACAGAGACAGAGAGAGAGGGTGAGAGACAGAGAGGATGGTCAGTGGCTTCAGACACATCCATGACAGTCCGGTGAGGAGACCTCCTGTCGGCGGGGAAACGGACACGAGGCGTTAAACTTGAAACAAGTCAGCCGTCTGTGTGCACATTCGGTCCGTTGCTTGGCCTCAGTGCAGTGATTATATAACGGCTGTCAGTGAGTCAACAGGAGGCACAGAAAAGCAGTGTCGGCAAAATATGATTTGACCCCTTAATACAGGGTACACTGCAGCGCCCAGTGTTATACAGCAGAACCAAGTGAGAGGTCCATGAGTGTGCTGCAGGGATTAAGACATTGACACGTTGCATCCTGATAATATAGCCTACTTACTTTTGAAAAAATTCTCATTGTTTTACTGAAACAGCTGGGCAGCCACCAAGTCTAGTTTTGCAAAGTTTGAAAGGTTTTGGTTGAACATTCTCCCCATTTTTCTTCTAAATATCTACATTCAATTAAAAAAAAGGCATTTTCACCCTTTTAGATTAGGTCCTCTGTCATATTGTGCATGTATAACAATAGGTAGCTCCGTATGGGCAACATTCTAAGCCCGCCAATATAGCAATCAAATCAAAGGCCAAGGAACTGATTTTAAATCCCTCTTCCAACTGTACACCGTTCAGTTATTGCATTTCAAAGTACACAAGCTGAAAGACGCTCTAACTTCCGTTTCACCGGGACTTAAAAGTCAGTTGTCCCATACAGACGCAGTACAACGGTGGTCACTGTAGTAGTATTTGTTGTTGTCGTCCATGTCAAATGTGGTGTTGCATCTGCAAGACCAATCACGATGAACATTTTTTCAGTTCCTGAAAGTATGTGGAACTTCCATTCAGAAACAGGTCCTGGGAAGTGCCCAAATGAAGTGCAGGGACTCATCTTCAAAGTGGGAGCAGAGCCCTGTGTTAGTACACAGCTTACATGTTAGGTTACAGGTCATTGACTTGCGGGGTGTATTTGCTTTCTTACAACTCACATTCAAGCTTAAAATGCATTCACATTCAGCTTTTGAATAACTCTTATGGTGTTGGAGTCATTCAATCTTCTTTCAAAGCCCGAAACTGCAATGTGCCATATTTTTATGGCTTTACCTGTACCATAAATGCTGCTGTAGTGAAAAAAAATGTCCCCTTGCGGGATTGATAAAGTAGCTATCTATCTATCTCTATATATCTACAACAACAGTTTCTCAAATATTTTAGTGCCACCTACAGGTGAAATTGTATCAACTGCTACAGGCTAGATGAGCATCCCCACGTGTACAACTTTGCTGAATTTGGTTACCATGAAATATTACATTAAAGACATATGGAAGTTAATAATAAGTAAGGCAAGTCTTTTTTATCTAAAATAAAACAGAATTGGGAGAAATATCCGGTTTTGATGTCGCTTTGGCGCCACCTGCTAGCTCAACAGAATTGAGAATCTACCAAGAATAATAAAGTGAAACTGAAACAGCACCCGGCATGATTATGAGACATGCTGGCTGTCATGATGTGATCAGCAAGAAAGACTTTTAACTGCATTGCAAATACGGGCTATTATATTAGAGAGCACTGGAGTTGCATTGAATGATGGCGCATGAGAAACATCTAGATTAACTTTGTCTGTAGGAGCCGTGTTCTGAGGAACATTGCCATGAGCCAATATCAAACGCTGAACCATGTAATCTAACAAGGAGAGATGAACGTTACCAGGACGTAACCCCAAAGCCAGCAGGGGGTCCCTGGAAGACAGACAACAAAGTCACATTTGATTGAGGAAAAAGTGATTTGTTTGAAATGTTACTTAGAAGCAGTGATAATTCAGAAGCACCACTGAAGTGGACATTTTTCAATTATTTTTGTGTCACCTAGGTGAGAGTGCTTCAGACTTGTTCAGCATTGGCATGTGTACAACTTTGCTGGATTTGGTTACCATGGAATATTATATTATTAATAGTGATACAAAAAGATATGTCAGTTCATAATAAGTAAGGTGATGTAAGTTTTTAAAAATCTATCTTTTTAAGACAACGGAATTGGAGAAATGTCAGGTTTCATGTTTTAACTTTGCTTTAGCACCACCTGGGATACCGCTGAACACAGTGGTAGTAAGTAGTTGAAGCAGTAGTAGTTGTATTAGAAGCTGCAGTAGTATGAGAAGTAGTAGCCAAAGACAGGGATTGAACCAATCATCATTGGTTCGCCAATATAAATGGCCAAATTTGCCATTATAAATATGAACACTAAAAAAGAAATCTTAAGAAATCACTTAAACATGTTATAAAGTATTATGAAAAGTAAAAGCTGTAGATAGCTTTAGATAGATGCCTGAAAAAAAGGCTGCGGTTAACACAAGCTAAAGGGATTTGTACAGTAAATAATAAATGCCTCTTAAAAAAGGCGGTTGCTAGAAAATGGCGAAATGAGACTACAGGTTGTTCGTAGCCCATAATGATAGCTTTTGACCTATGGCAGTGGTGTTCGTTTATGAACAACGTATCTTGTTATTCCGATTGAAAGACAACCACTCTACCTCTAAGCCACAAATATTTGTCTTTTTGTTGAGAGAACCGGGGCAATGCTAACTTGTGGGTCTGTTTCATGTCTGTTTCATGGCAAGCCACACTGATACTTATTGATTCCAAATAGAAATTGTAGCACCAGTTTTATAGTGGCTTAACGGGAAAAGTGAAGGATCACTGAAAGAATTTCATTCAAATGCAGCCATTCATTTCATGTTATTCAATGGGGGGAAATAGTTGGCAGTAGCACTAGATCAAAGCTCGAGGGACCATTAGAATTATTAGGATTCATTCTCTGGGGACCACAAGTATTCATACCAGTTTTCATGGCCACCTGTCCAGTAGTTTATCTTTCTTGTTCTGGACCAAAGCGTTACATCAAAGGATGGACCTACTTAACCATCCAGCCTTAGTCATCAGACATGCTGTGCTGTCAGATGCAAGGGCAGCTGGTGAGTTAATGCGACGGTGATGTGACACAAGGTTTTACTGTACGTTGCCGAGGTCCGGGTCCTTCTCTCAGCATGTCGACTGATTGGCTGTGGCACCGTTTCTGCCCAAGTGACGCACAGCTCTCTATGCAAAGGACACAGGACACAGCATGCATTCATGTCTCAATAAACATGATATTTGTCTTGTGGATGTCAAACACTGGTTATCCCAGCGTCACAGGGCTTCGCAACAGAATGAAAGAGAGTTTTATTGCCAAGTAAATTTGCACATACTATACAATGCATCGACATGGACTAGTGGAGCCGGGGATTGAAATGCCGATCATCTGATTGAAGGACGACCCTGTTCTACCACTGAGCCGCAGTCTCCCCAACCTGTGACTGAAAACCGTGCACAATCCGAACTTCGACTTTTGTGAACCGTTTTACCCCGAGCATTCATGGTACTTCTGATGTGATTCAGTAAAAGTTAGTATTGATTGAAGATACATTATAATGTTATCATGATGTGTTCAAATGTAAGAGATGTGAGAAAGTTAATAACTTTTTAATACAGTTGTTTGGAGGAGATGTTTTCACGGCAATGTAAAATATATATTAGAGAGGGAATTATGACCTGTTTAACGTCCACTGCTGCATTTACAGGCTAGCCAGTGGTGCCATCACAGACCTCATAACTGGCTCTGTCCTTTCCACGTTGGCCTGTCCAGCCTCCAGTTTACGGAGGGTCTGGCTGCAGAGAGGGCCGAGACAGGATATCATGGTTTGATAGCTGCTGTGCCATAGAACAGTTTTACAGGAAGTGGTGATGCATCTGCGCTTTAACAGAAAGGGTGAACATGACACTAAGACTGGATCCTATCCAGTTATGCAGCATCCCTCCCCCGTTCATGGGGTCGAGGAGGTGGATACATTTTTCTCAGGCGGAGAGAGTAGCAGAGCTCCGGGACCTGTTATGGAAACTGTAACTGCTGTGACAACTATATCTGTTGTCCCCACTCACGACAGAAAGAGATGGTTTTGCTATGTGTACTTCCTAGTTTCCAAGAAGACGGGAGACTTCAGACCCATTTTGGATCTCCGCGCATTGCCCGCAAGTCGATATGTATGCTGACCATCAGGCAGTTACTGGAGCTGGTTCAGCCAGGTGATCGGTTCACTACCATCGGGTGCTCTAGGGGGGCTCTAAAACACAGAAAATACATGTGTGTCGTCTTCCAGGGAGAGTATCTACAAGTACAATAAGTTGTCATTCGGCTATTCCCTGGCCCCCTGCACCTCCAGCAGAAGAGCAGCCCCCTACCACACCAATAAGTGGAGTATCTGCAGGATGCTGGCCACTCAGTTAGAACTCAGTTGGCAAACTGCCATGGGGTGTGACGGTGACAGTGTTGACCGCCATGCTAAGGTTCATGGCAGCTGCATATGTGGTTACTGTACACGTGGTCTGCCAGCCTCCGCTTGGATGCCATGAAGCACAAGCGATACATTCCTGCATGAGTGTCCGCAATCAAAATTTACATCTGCTTTGCCAAGTTGATCATTGACATGTTCTATTTAACGCCAACCCCCAACATGTACACTGTAGAGCTGTTGTGCCTCT